TTTCCTAGGAACATGCACTAGGGTGGTACCCATAAAACGATCAAGCGTATGTAGGCCCTGACGTGAAAACACTTCACTCACCCGCCATAACCTCCGGGACTTCCTGAAAGCATACGATTTTCCAAATTTGAACTAATGGAGAAGAACTAGATGTTCGGGACTCACCCCAGCCTGGGCGGCCTATCCATCCTCCAGGGCGTCCTCCTCCTCCGGGTAGCCTTCCTCCTCCGGGGCGTCCTCCATATCCCCAGGGGCGTCCTCCATATCCTCCAGGTCGTCTACCGAATCCTCCTGGGCGTCCTCCTACGGGGCGTCCGCCTCCTCCGGGGGGTCTTCCTCGTCCTCCTGGCCATGACCATCCTCCACGGCCTCTTCCCCACTTGGAAACAGCTTCATCCATAAGCAACATAACGAGTATCACACAGGAGAATCGACTCCACATCTGCAAGGAAATGTGATCAGGGGAGTGAAAGAGCATGCTCAACTGAAACAGCACCTACTAAAGTTATCGACCAAACTTCGTGATTCAAGCCTACTAAATGAACATCACTTTGCCTCAAATCACAGTTTGCGCCTAACGGGAATAGTGGAGAGGTGAAAAGAATTAGTCAAGAATGGACTGATAGGAACTCAAGATCACAATTTTCGATTCTTCCATTCCCGAGGAGTTTCATGCAGTCTTTGAGGCTCACCGTCTCTTTTCTTTTCCCTTTTCTAGGGTTGGAAGCAATAATTCATTTCACTGATAGGCGCCTGGACATCTTGTGATCAGGGTGAAAATCGTGTCGAGGGAATGGGCGCATCTCTACGACACCCCTTCCTTAAAGGAATCTTCCGCGGAAAAAGCTCCGCCTCCATTACCACAGAAAAACGATACCCCTTAGGCCCCTAGCCTCATGAGCATAGCAAAAAGAACGGAACATAAGCGTTAGTTTCGATAATACTAATCCTACACACAAGACAAAATGATCACTCTTTCCGTGGAAGATTCCTTTAAGGTATCGTTTTCTGTGGTAATGAGGGCGGAGCTTTCCGTGGAGGATTCCTTTAACGGACTTCCGATAGAACCCCTTCACCCCTCGCACATCCGGTTTTATAGCAAAAAATGTTATCAGATGCACGAGGATCAAGCAGCGCCGCTGATGCAAGAATGCTCCGCTGTTCAAATCCTCAGCACAACATAATGATCAAACGGCTATCTCCTTCAAACGCCTTATCTAGTACTACCTGAGTCAGGAAAGAAAGAGAAGGAGTATGTGCAGGGTCAACACTCACCGTGGTACTTTCTGGAAATTTTCGCGACTCCCCATAGGGGTTTTGGTACGACCCTCTCCACGGCGCCGCCGCGTCGTCCCCCACTCCCTAACTCACATGGCACCAGGCTGCCAAGCTTTTAAATTCCGGACAGGGAGGCCGGGCAAAGGAATCAATATTGAAGCGCAATGCGATATTGATCGCGTTTTGAATGTGCTGAATCGCGCTCGTTGGGGACCTGACGATGGAGCGCGTTTACTGACCATGAACAGGCGACGAACGGGGATACTGAAATTCAGACGAGTATTTGTTTGTTAAATTTCAGGCACTTTGGAACATCGAGGTGTGATTAACTCCAGCCAAGGTCGAGCTGATTTTGGATCAGCGAGCCTCTGGCTTTTTAACTGATGCTTACTTGTTCTCAAACAATTCGAAATGAATAAGTTATTGAGCAAGATTAAATTGCAATGCAATTTTTATCTTCTTCTTTCGAGAGTCATAACTTCCTTCAAATTCAACTTTTTGCACCGATGTTTTAAGCTTAGGGGAAATTTGAATTATCCTCTTTCTAATACTAAATTGCTAAATATTCTTTGAAAGTTAATTTATAAAAATTAGCACGTTGTACTTTTTTCTGTGCAAAGCGACTTTTTGACCTTCAAACGATCATAACTTCCTTCAAAGTCATTCATTTGGGAAGCTGAACACGTATGAATAAACTACAAGGATTCAAGCTTTCTAAAAAGTACCCAACTTATTCAAAGAAGTAGTTCAAAAATTAGTCCCGTTGGGACTTTTTTGGATGGTTTGTGGGTCTATTTTCTGGAATCGTTCAGATTTGAGGACTATCTTGAAAGATAGAATATCCCTTGGAGAACGTGCGAGTTCGGATTCTTTAACTTCTGTTGTGAGAGCTCCTACAGCATGCAAAAAACCGTTTTGAAAAGGCGTTCAACATCCTAAACGACCTCCCTTGTGAGTGTACCCGCGGAATCTAGCCCATTTGCTCATACAATCAACCTCTTAAGTTTATACTTTTTTTTATACTTTTTGCATATTCGGTCAATTTACACTTTAGTCAATATACAATTAATTTCATTGCATGCTCCTCTGCATGACAAATTTGTACGTCACTCAAGGTTTATTCGTCTTTCCCCTGTGTCTTTATTTCGCCAATCCCAACTCACTGATGAGCTCCGGGGATTGACGAAATAATAAGGTTCGTCTGAGGAAGGAGCGAAACGAACCATTTTAATTATTTCGTTTATAATGGTTTTTTCTTTCTTAATTTCTCACTTTGTAAGGCACTAGCGCCTTTTTTCCCAGCTTCAAGGCGCAGCAGTGGCTGCGGCAAAATTGGAATTACTGGACCGTCGCTCTACTGCCCTGTCCCTTCTGGAATAGATCCTGCACAAATATGGAGGCAATGTCATGAACCCTAAAATCTTGATGCAAACTTCCTCCGAACATGAATACGGAAGTTCTATGTTAGCTCGATCCGTATGTGATGCAACTACCATACACTTTCAGAAACCTCTTAAAAAGCCCGTAGGCCGGTAGGTAGAAGGGGAGGGGGTTGGTGGTACATAAGTGTTCGAACTGCAAAATTAATGGGTCGAGGACTTCTTCGGAATCTTTTCGCATCTCTGGAAGCCCCTCTGTTCCCACTCCCCACCTCTCCTGCAGTAGAGCTGCTTTTATGGAATTCTTCCTCGAGGGATTCCATGAACTACTTTCCTCGTTGAACAGTTCAGCGGACGGCTGATTCTCACGATGCACTGTGATCAACACCTTAGCGACAGTATCAGTGAACTCTTTTATTTACTTTTTTTTTCAGGAAAGCTGAAATAGTACCAGCACAGAATTTTTTGTAAATATTTCTGGCACAAATGATGGAGTGACGTGCACTCCACCCAAGGAAAGCATGTGCTCCACTGTCGTGACAACATGTGCAGTTGTCAGTGCAACAGCTATCCCATGAAGGGCACGCCCAAAGAACAGCACTTGGCTCAGTTCCGTTGTCATATTTTTGCTCCGGCACCACCGCCTAAATGATCAGCAGCTTCTCGTATTTATCCCTTTACAGCAGGATGTGCCATTAGGTATTAGGTGATATACGGCGCAGGTGTTTTAGTAAGAGTGTCCACTATTTCTCACAACGAACTGCTCATGTACGGACCAAGGATCAGCAATTTAGTGGGAAAGAAATGAGAGGGGGATAGGCCAATGTTGCAAAAAATAACTCAGTACCCTATCCGTAGTCACGCCTATTATCCCGTGTGCGCCAAATACGCGCGTTAAATTCCGATTGGCGCAACACCCCCGTGTTTGTTTTCTTTTGCACCCTCTCGCCTAAATATTGATAGGAGTGAACTGTCGCGCACGGGGTTACACGTTCGTGCTTTGAGTTTCATATGCGCATTCACGAATCACCCCTTCTTGATTGAAAATACAAGTAAAATTCAAAGGGATCACTCCCCTGTTATCCAGCTGGCGGAAGGGGGGGCTGTAGCCTGTGGCCGCTTGAGTTTAGTTGCAGTAAGGGAAGTAAACACGGTATAAACTGACCGTTGCGTAAAATTTTTCCACAGTTACGTTACACAATTTCTGATCCTTTTTTATAGGCGGATGTTCATCAAAATGATATTCTTTTCCGTTATACTGCACATCGATATGTTTACCTGCAATCAGAAACAACGCTACGTTTTGACATTTAATTATGTTGTGCCGTCATTTTAGATTTGGGCGTAATGGTTGATCGGACAGAGGGGGGCATCACTGCCCCCACATTGAGGATATATACGGAGAGCGGAGAATCAGTACGCTCCACACTGAATCAATACGGAATTACCGCTAATTTTCCGGGGCACTTGCGTACGATCTAGAGACACCGTTACTCGCCCTTCAGGATAATTCGAGGCGTTATCTGATTACGAAAATGAGTTTCGGCTTTTTGCTGTGCTCCATCTGGCGCCAGTTTGCGTCGCCTTTGCTCCACGACCTTGTTTTCACAAAATCGTATAACTTTTTGTAGGAGTCATTAGGGTTAGTTGGCCCGTGTTCGATATTACGTTCGTTGTTTGCTTTTCGAGGAAAATTTAACCTCGTTTTCTTTCCTTAGCTCGTTGTGTGTTTTTTTTCGTTCTCGGTTGTTCAAAGGCATCTTTCTCTGTTGGCGCGCGCGCCGACCAACAACCACGGTATCCAAAAAAATGGCGCCTGGCCGAACAATACTTAAACGTCAATCAGGCCACCGATACTCTATACCGCAATCTTAAAGGCGAACAGCGGTGTTCGTGACAAAGGTGCGCCACCGGCGCGAGGTGAGGCAAAAAACAAAAGTGCATTTTCGTACATCAGAAAACTCGATTACTCTTCACGGTGGTTTTTTCTAAGTGTACGAAAAGCCCTTCTACACGACTCATGAGATTCCCCAGAAGCATGTTCACGGTACGGGCTCAATGAGGTCGTGCGGTCCATAGAGGATTGAGAGATCCCCTGAATGCTTGGTCAAAAGCCATATTGTACAATTCATACGCCAGACGTTTCTGGGACTGTCTTACTAAGTTAATTCTTGAAATATATATGTCGAGCTTTCAGGCTGAAGGATTACGGTAAACTGTTGAAGCTGGACGGCGATGGCAGATGATGTCATATTCTGAAGACCGTGGGGCAGTGAAGAAAGGTCTGCTTCTGCTTATTGGTGAACATTTAAGGAGTATCCTGCCGTAAAACGTTCATCAACAACGGCATCCTGTACGAAGACAAATTTGATGATTGCTGCCCTATCGATGGAAAATAGTGGACATTTCAGAATACAGTCGATATCCGAAAGTTGGGGTGGGTGTGTCACCGGAAGTGACGTGCACTTGATAGAAGTGCGTGGATAAGCTGTTGCCAGCATGCTTTGCTGATAGCCAGCGATGTATGTTGGAAGCAGCTTATCCACATAGTTTCTATCAAGTGCACGTCACTTCCGGTGACACGCCCACCCCAACTCACCGATTCGAGTCCTATAAGCGCATAAAAAATTAGGCCCTAATCCAAGCGTTATATTTGTAACTGGAAAGGAGTATGAAGAATAGCTTCTTACCACTATTGTGTGTTATTTTCGTCACGAGTTTGAAGGGTGTTAGTATTGGAAAAATGTTCATAAGCAGCGTAACAAGGAAGGCATGCAGAAACAAGCCTTTCATCTGCAAATATAGGACTGCGAATACCATCGTGAATCACCATCACCAGAATTTGAAAAAAAGGCAAATACGTCTTGACATATAAACTGCTCTGTACTCGTCGGTATCCAGGACAGTGCAAGTCAAAAAGAATTGAGCGCAGGTGACTGGTGCATAAGCCTATCTCCCTGGAGCACGAGTCCTCTTCGGCGTACAGCACAGCCGTTCCTTCTCTCCCAGAAGAGAAAGATTTGTCAAGCAACCGGTGCTGATGCTCTCGAATGAACCAATGGTGTCGCATACATGGGATCTTTCTACAAAGGGGTGCACCGTGGGCTCATGGAGGAGACGGTATAAATGAGTTTACTTTTTTATTTTTCCATTTTTTTTCACACCTATCACTTCTAATCGTGAATTCTCCTTTAATGGCTATCTGCGTTCAGAAGCGACAACCGTATCTGTGGTAGTCTGCACCAAGAGAAAAAAAAGAAAAAAAAAAAAAAAAAAAAACCAAAAAAAACGCAAATGGTGACACTCTACATAAATAACTATGTCTGGCACTCTATATCAGGATGGTAATAAAGTTCTTCAGCCATTGAGCTTGGAATTTCTCACCAATTAGTCCCATTGTTATTCAATACAGTGTCCCATGTGATGGGGCAGGTCGACGACTCCTCTCTCCTAAAACTGGGGAGATTGGAAGTCATAGAAAGACGACCGAGACTAGCTCTTGTCCACCTATTCCACGATAACGCCAGCCTCATATGGGTAAAGAGGCCTATGAAAAGTTGGAGCTGAGGTGGTACACGTTCTCTAGCCACCCTACTCTCCTAAGATTTTCCCCTCTGACTATCATTTATTTCGCTACCTTTGAGGTACTCCTAGCTATAAAAATTTCACCAAGCTGAACAGGTTAAGAGAGCGATCAGCGTTTCTTTTCACTCCAGTCCGCTCAGTTCTGAGGGGAAGAGAGTCGTTGACCTGTCCTTATGTGGGATACTGTAGGGTAACAACGGTGATTATATTGTTGAGAAAATTCCATTGTATGCTGAATAAAAAAATAATGGAGAAAAATGTCAAGAGGCTCAACTTTCTTACCAGCCTCATACTATTCTGCTACCGTAATATCGTAATCCCCGCGATTCCAACTCTCCAACTTCTTATTTACTGCTATCTAATCACCTCTCCAATAGGTATCTTTGTCATTGTCGAGTATTAAATTCACCTCCGGAGTCGTGAACTATGGACACGGCCTAGCTGATGAAAGGAATGATGTCCTTACAAAACCTATTTTGTAAAAAGTTAGTCAAGCAGGAGACCATATTGTGTTGCTGTCCTTTGTTTTGAAGCCACTAATCGGATAGGTTCAAGAGCCAGTCAATCTTAGAATGGGATAGGGTAAGGTGAGGTGGGGGGGGGGGCTCTGCAAGCACAGGAGGCGCGACACTGTCGCGACTCAAAAGTGCGAGGCAGTGGCGCTAACCAGGAAGGTCTTTCAGGGCGTGACGAGCTTTTTGAAAACGGTCTTTTGCATGATATAGGGGCAGATGCGGGAACCACAGAACCATGTTCAATTTTTCCTGAACGGCCCTCTGAATACCAGAAAAGGAGGTCCCTAGTTCGATTCCTCGTGGTAACAAATTTTTGCATTTCGAGTTGACGTGCCAAAATTCGCGCAAAATGGAGTTAGAACCAACCAGAACAATCAGAACTCCATTTTGCGCGAATTTTGGAACGTCAACTCGAAATGCAAAAATTTGTCACCAAGAGGAATCGAACTAGGGACCCCCTTTTCTGGTATTCAGAGGGCCGTTCAGGAAAAATTAAACATGGTTCTGTGGTCCCCGCATCTGCCCCTATATCATGCAAAAGACCGTTTTCAAAAAGCTCGTCACGCCCTGAAAGACCTTCCTGGTAAGTTGCCTGCTGCCATCCGATTAATCGTGGAGCAAGTAGTGTTTGCGCGCTCTCACGCACGACTTACTCTCTCGCGTTATCCCTCTCCGCGCAGCGTTATGTCTGTCCGTCATACCACGGCCGCCCTCATAGGAGAAGTTTTAGTGTTTTTAAGTTTAGGGGTTTTTTCTTTTTGTTCCCACTAGTGTTCCTCTCTCCAATCCTTTCAGAAAAAAATACACACCAATTCTATTCCATCTCGTGCCTTCATGATTGCTTTTGTTCTCAGAAAATGTGGACGATTCGTCTAATCTTTTGAAGTGAATACTGCAATCCTGGTGGGAAGGCCTTGCCCTGCCGCTATCGTATGATCGGAATCATGTTCAGAAGTAGCCAGGATGGAGTGAATTCGGGAAATGAAAGTTGTTCAGCTACCTCGAGTGCTCTCTCCTCCTAGTCTTGTTTTACCAACGAGGAGAATTTTAACGAGGTTCCAAGTGCATAGCCACCGCAAAGCCCCGTATCTCACGATAGCGCCGATTTGCTTTTCACAATCGTAAAATCTTAATTTCATCTTACTTTTTCGAATAGCATTAGAACTATGTATCACGCCGAATTGCAGGCAGTCGCTGAACCCGTACAATCTTCTTCGTCCTCACCTTCGAGTACATGACCACTATTGATGGCGAGTAGCGAGTAAGTAAGACGTCTCATTACGTGGATTATTATCAGTGGGTTGATATTTTATTCGTGATCATACATTTATCACATGGAAACATGAAAATATAACCACTGGTATCGCTATATGGTCAGAGAGATATTGTAGGTGCAGCGGGCAGGCAAGTAATTTCTCGGAGGAAGTAAGGAAGTCTTGGCGCTCATGTCCTTAGGGGGACATTGGAGTGAGTAGGCCACTGATAAAACTCTGGGACTAAGCTTTAGGGAGGAAGGATTTGTGGCAACCATTGTTCTCCCTTGTGTTTATTCCCAGTCCTGGGCTTTAGTTAGTGTCACCTACCAGCGGTTTTTGAATGCGCTGTTCCGAATGTCCCCCCTGAGGACATGAGCGCCGAAGTCTTTTCTACATTATTGAAATCTAGGCTTCCTCACCGTTAGAGGGACATTGAAGTGAGTGAGTCACTTACAGAATAGCGAATGAAATGGTTTTTTGGTGAGTGTTTGAGCAACCTTCCTCTCTGAAAATTGTCCTTCCTCCTGGGTGCGCTGCTTTGAATGTCTCCCTGAAGTCCTAAGCGTCGGAATCTGTATTATTAACACTTCTCTATGCTTTCCAGCGTTGATTCAGTGATGTTCTTCTTTTTGAACAAGGGAGATGCAAACTGGCGAAAGTGAGGTGGTCAGGTGCTTCGGGAGGGAGGGATTAGATCCTAGAGCACTCGCTGAAGTAGAGAGAGCTTTGCGATTTTGGGAAGCAACTGCAACCAGTGAGCAAAAGAATGAGTATTGTAGGGTGGCCTTATCATATTTGTATCGATATCACCCCTAGGACGGGGATGAAATAATGGATACTGTTTCGGTTTCAAGATGCGCCATTCAATGACTCTGAGTGACCGCTGCGTTGAGTGAAGCAGTAATTTTGGCTCTTTGAATATTCCTTGCTTACGTATGCTATGTTGCTACGTAGGTTCTATTGTTTTACAGCCGAAAACGCTAGTGTACTTAGGGGGGCCGCTATGCAGGCTAAGCCATGGAGTGGGAGACAAAATTCGGATTTTTCCTTTCCGAATTTTTTTCCGAGATCATATCGCTTCTTGTGCTTCTGAAGGAAGATTCCACGATCGAAGAAGGGGAACTCTACCTGGTGGGAAGGGAGGCGGGCTTTCTAAGGGTGCAGGACGATACGGCTATTGCAGCGAGCGGTATGCCCAGCGGCTGAGCACCCACACCGCTCGCCCCGCGCCCGCTCGTCCTCTACCGTCTGATTTTATCCGCACTAGTAGCGAGGTTTAGCATTGGAGCTCAGCACCGATGAGAGTCGCATCAATACGGAATACAACGGCCAGTAA